CATAATGCTGCCATAAACGATCAGTTATCTACTGATCCGTTTTTGAGGGACATAATCTGATCGTAGAGTGGGATGCTTTTAATAAAAATAAAGCTTAGACGTGTGTGTGTGTGTGTGTTTGTGTTTGTGTGTGTGTGTGTGTTTTTGTGTGTGTGTGTGTTTGTGTGCGTGTGTGTTTGTGTGTGTGTGTGTGTGTGTGTGTGTGTGTGTGTGTGTGTGTGTGTGTGTGTGTGTGAATGTGTGTGTGTGTTTGTGTGTGTGTGTATGTTTGTGTGTGTGTGTGTGTTTGTGTGTGTGTTTGTGTGTGTGTGTGTTTGTGTGTGTGTGTGAGTGTGTGTGTGTGTGTGTGTGAGTGTGTGTGAGTGTGTTTGCTTTCGCCTTGTTCGTGTATTTCTTGTTCTTCCCTTCGTTATAGACATGTATCCCGGTATCGTTATTCAAACCGACTTCCATACATTGCCTTTAAGATTTTAATAAATTCGTTGTGTGATAGCAATTTGCAAATTTCAGAAGTCGTGTATAATGTTGATAAATAACGATGCTTATCAACGCTCGCGCTACTTGTTTCGAAGAACTCGAACTGTTGATATGTTTGCCTCTACAATGTGCTTACAATTGTGAGATAGAATAGCGCGTTGCATCCGATCCTTCCTTACGAGTTTGGTGACCGGTCGCTCCAAGCCTTGCAGCCTTTGAGCAGGAAAGTGGTTCGTGACGTTATTGTGACTGCAGCGGTGTGGGCGTGGCAGCCATGGTAAAGCAGTTGCACCATCCCTCCCTTGCAGCGGGTGACAAGGCGAGCGATTGGCTGGCTATTGGGTGTTAGCGGTCTAATCGTAGGGTACCTGTGTGGACAATAAACGCTCTGGATCTGTTGCGTTTGGATTCCAGGGTACACCTCGCTGGAAATGTAAGAAAGTAGAAATAAAATGTACATGTGTTTGTGTGTGTGCATGTGTTCTTGTGCATCGATATGTCCGAATACTAGACGAAAATTAATGATTGAAAAAAAAATGTCCATGCATAAAAGTGTGTCAATATATCCATGTCATTTAATCGCTGACATACCGGTAGTCTCTCATAAGTTGTTTGTAACAATGTATGAACAAAGATGCTGTCATCTTCCTTGCTCGTTTTAGGGCGGTATAATGCCTAAAATAATTACTGGATTTCTCACAAGAACCATTACCTTGATCAATTATTATATCATATATTGTCCATACTTCCCATCTAAATATAATATATATGTCTACAAAACCATGACAACGTATGTTTTGCTAACAGTAAACAATAAAATAGCAAAAGCATTTCAGAAAAAAAAATCTTCGCCACCATTACTCACTCTCTCGTCCCAAGGACAATGGAAATAATTTGTTTCTTTGAAAATTCCAATGATTTGTCTCGGCCCACCTGAGACCTTTCCGGATAACGGTGAAGACGTGTTTTGTTAAGGGTGGATTTCCTTTTCTTGCCTTTCAGATATTGTAGTTGTTTCTTGTCTCAACGAAATCGCAATATGGTCTAAGAAAGGAATGTTGAAGGGAAGATATCTGAAGCCTCCCCTTAAAGATAAATGAATACATAATGAAATAAAACCAAATAAATAGCGCGAAATTAGTAAATTCATAAAAAAATCAAAACATCAAACTGACAATAACCGTATATTTTAAAAAACTATTCCATTTAGAAATCTAAATATCAGCAATATACGTCAATGATAAAAGTCACGCACTAGAATAGGGAGCTTTAAATATTAGACATTTAACATTTGCCTGTGACTCTGTCTGTCTGTTTCGCTTTCTTTCTTTCTGTGTTCTTTCTCATTTGTATCATAGACCTGTATCTCACATTCGATATTTTCTTGATCCTATTTGCATGAATTTTCTTTATCAATATTTATTAAGAAATATACATAAAGGATACATCATATATTCAAAATAAATAGTTATTGCACATACAAAAAGAAAAAAGA